AATGAAACTAAATCTTTTACATAACCCGGCTAATGGAACTGCTGGTAATTCCTATCCTGATGTGATTCCCATTTCTCTTTTTATGAGCGTCCAAATGTTCTTATTTTGGGGGCAAAGCCCAAATATATGATGCCTACCAGCATTTATTGCCTTACATCAACCTGCAAATACAGTTTAGACTTTGGGGGTATCAAATATCAAACGAAAATAAATCTACAGAGTAGGCATTTTCCCCGAGCTAACACATTTTCAAATCTGCCAGTTGACTTAAATAATCTCCCTCCCTCATAAATTGTCACAGTTATTTCCAGAAAATATATTTCAATTTCTGCATGATCCTTCTTCCCAAGGATTTAATTATACAGTGGTACCTTGGTTTAAGGGACGTGGGTGGCACTGTGGGTTAAACCACAGAGCCTAGGTCAGCGATTTGAATCCCCACGATGGGGTGAGCTCCCGTTGCTCGGTCCCTGCTCCTGCCAACCTAGCAGTCCGAAAGCATGTCAAAGTGCAAGTAGATAAATAGGTACCGCTCTGGCGGGAAGGTAAATGGCGTTTCTGTGTGCTGCTCTGGTTCACCAGAAGTGGCTTAGTCATGCTGGCCACATGACCCAGAAGCTGTACGCCGGCTCCCTTGGCCAGTAAAGTGACATGAGCGCTGGGACCCCAGAGTCGTCCGCTACTGGACCTAACAGTCAGGGGTCCCTTTACCTTTACCTTGGTTTAAGAACGGCTTAGTTTATGGACAACTTGGATGAAGAATGCTGCAAGCTTGGAAGTAGGTGTTTTGGTTTGTGAACATTGCCTTGGAAGAAGAACATGTTCCGCTTACTGTTGAGTGTAAATTGAGTCCCCACTGTTATGGGAAAGCACACCTTGGTTTAAGAATGCTTTGGTTTAAGAACGGATTAAGTTCGTACATGGAATCACTTGTTTGTTGTTGTTTTTCCTTTGTACACCTATCCAAACTGAGACACATCCATTCCAATTTGGTGAAATTAAATTTATAGTGTGAAACCTTACTGAAGGTAACGCAAATGGTTTCTGCTTCTGTGTTAGATCAGGAAAGCAAAGGGGTGGGTGGGTGGGTGGGGGACCTCAATGAATTGGAGAGATAATTCCTAAAGTGAGGAACCTTTTCTACTTGCCCATAAATTTTAGAATCCTGATTTTCCAGAGTTCTGGATTGCTCCAATTCATGAAGAGCAGCAGAGCAGAAGGCAGGGAGGGTGCTAACATCCCTTACACTCCTGTGTTGATTTAACACAGAAATTGAATGCCAGAATAGGACTACAGTCTCTCATTTAATGAGGCAGAAACTTTGTGCAAATTGGTCCTCTATCCTTCGTGAACACGGAACATTTATGCAAAGCCCCAAGTAGATAAAATCCTTTGTGCGTTTGTTGTTGGGAGAAGAGCTGGGTTCTGCATTTTCTCTGTTGATTCTGCCAGCAAAAAAGGGATCAATACTTTCTTATGCATCTTCAATGAAGCTGATTCAAAGGTTTATATGTGTTACAAATGGTATGACTTCCCTTTCAAAGTTACTTTTGAGGTATGGGGGGAGGGGGAATCCATGATGCACAAGAAACAAGGTTTTGTACATTTCCCTTCTTTTCATCTTCTTCAGTTTGATTCTTCATTAACGGGGTTGTTTCCACCTTGCTTGTACCCTTTCTGCTTTTATGAAAGCAATAAACTTTACTATAGACACTGAGGCCCATTTAATTAGCAATAACACTCCATCAAAGTGTCTTCAGGCTGTATCAAAGGGATATGCCTCATACCACCATCACGGGGGTTGGATACCAGCAAATTTGTTCAAGCTTGTGCCTTTGATTTCCAGGGTTCCAACTGCTGTAAGGCATTGTGAATAACAACACAAAATAGGAATGATGTCTCACAAGAGGCGTGAAGAGCAAACATTCTGAATATTGCACAAATTCACCCTGGGTAACTATTCCATTTCCCTCCTCAGCTATTCCAGTTGCTATTGTTCTTTTCTTTGTGGGTCCCCTTTCATCTTGACAAGAGGGAAAGCTTTCCACTGGAAGAAGTATATAATTATTTCAACAGCATAGTAATTACGGAGAGAAATTATACGACTTCTGGCCATTTATCAGTGTCCCTGTTCTGCTTTAAAATGGTTAGGAGATAGCCTTTTGGTCCCAGCGAGTATTTGTAACCTACGGAAGCAGTTTATGATCACTCCCAACATGACCCACAAAACTAATAATAATAATAATAATAATAATAATAATAATAATAATTTATTTATACCTCACCCATCTGGCTGGGTTTCCCCAGCTACTCTGGGAGGCTCCCAACAAAATATTTAAAAACATGATAAAAGATGAAACATTAAAAGCTTCCCTAAACAGGACTGCCTTCAGATGTCTTCTAAAAGTCAGATAGTTGCTAATTTCCTTGACATCTGACGGGAGGGCATTCCACAGGGTGGGTGCCACTACTGAGAAGGCCCTCTATTTGGTTCCCTGTAACCTCACTTCTCACAGGGAGGGAACTGCCAGAAGGCCCTCGGAGCTGGATCTCAGTGTCCAGGATGAATAATGGGGGTGGAGACACTCCTTCAGGTATACTGGGCTGAGTCTGGCCATGCTAGGTTTTAAATCACTGTGCTCCTTCAGATATACTGGACCAAGGCCATTTAGGGCTTTACCGTTCAGCACCAACACTTTGAATTGTGCTTGGAAACGTGCTGGGAGCCAATGTAGGTCTTTCAGGACCAGTGTTATATGGTCTCCGTGGCCACTCCCAGTCACCAGTCTAGCTGCCGCATTCTGGATTAGTTGAAGTTTCCAGGTCACCTTCAAAGGCAGCCCCACGTAGAGCACATTGCAGTAGTCCAAGCAGGAGATAACCAGAGCATGCATTACGCTGGCAAGACAGTCTGCGGGCAGGTAGGGTCTCAGCTTGCGTGCCAGATAGAGCTGGTAGACAGCTGCCGTGGACACAGAATTGACCTGCGCTTCAAAATGACTCCCAGGTTGCTCACCTGGTCCTTCAGGGGCACAGTTGCCCCATTCAGGACCAGGGAGTCCTCCACACCCGGCCACCTCTTGTCCCCCCAAAACAGTACTTCTGTCTTATCAGGATTCAACCATAATCTGTTAGCCGCCATCCATCCTCCAACCACCTCCAGACACTCACCCAGGACCTTCACCGCCTCACTGGTTACGACTGGAAAGAGAGGTAGAGCTGGGTATCATTTGCATATTGATGAACACCCAGCTCAAACCCTCTGATGATCTCTCCCAGTGGCTTAACGTAGATGTTAATAAACATGGGGAGAGGCACATGTCTCATCATGTATGGTTCATGTTTCTGAAACAGGAAATGTAACCTCAGTAACATCTCTTACAATTAGTCCAATAAATGCAGAGACGAGCAAGGTAATTTTTCTTACTTTATATTTTATGCCTCTACGATGTTGAATCACACCGTGTACTCAGATCTATCTTTTTGAGGGGGGCATGAGGTTCTTTAAAATGTAGCCTGTTCTCTCCTCCCCTTCCCACGAAGTGACTTAAATCTTTTTATTATCCACAAAGTGGTGGCCACCCTTCTTCCTACTCAAATTTAATTTGGTGTACCAAAGCGGACACTTGTTCTTAATTCGCCAGATATCTTTTTGACAGTAATACTGTCAGAGTGTTATGTTCAAAGTTCAAAAGACACTCTGAGGGACGATTCAGCTCTATGGATTATAAAATGTCAGACTTGGAATTTCCTCCAGCAAGAGAAATAAAAAATAATAATTTCCGTGAGCAGTTATTTTCATGGGCTCTTGTCACAATTTATATTTCCTAAAAATATACTTTTTAAAGAGTATAGTGATAGATTCGCTTTTTGAGCTGTAAGATTAACTGTCTCCTGGTCATCGTTTCAACCTTTGCTCAACAACTTTGGGGGTTGTCTTAAAAAAAAAAAGGCCAACAACTTTCAGGGTATCCTGGTTTTTACTTTTTGAAATATGGCAACCCTGATATAAACACTCCAGTTCCCCTTGTCTTTCTCTTTCCTCACAATATTCAATGCTGTATAGCTTTCCATCTGTATGCTATGTTGTGACTAATATCCTACAGTTTTCCTGATATATCACCCCGTCTTGTTTGCCATTTTACACAGTTTCTCTGGTAGGTTCTGAGAAATTCATCTTTTGATTTTAATGCAACCTTTCCTGTTCATTTTCTCCCGTCCATAATCACAAGGAGAAGCAAAGAGTGTTGGCAAAAACAGCAGCTTTCCAAACATGCTTCATGATGCATGCCGGGCTGTATCTTAAAGCTGAGTGAAGAATGGGCTTCCAAATTTCTTCATGCTAGTTGTGAGCAGCAAACCCAGATAACATTTTGTCAAATATTCTTGTGGCCGGCTGGTGGGGGAATGGTGAAATCCTCCCCCTCACTTTTATTGAAAAAATTGAGAGGGTTTGGCTCACTTGAAATAATATGTATACACATAAAATGTCTTGGGGGAGTTGCCAGCCCCGCCCACAATATCTCAATCTCTTCCCACTCCACCTCAATATTCCTGAATCGAGTGGGAAGGTATGAAAAAGGCTTCTGTGTGTATTCAAGTGAACACCCTCAGATTTTCATTATTCCTCTGTTAGAATTTTCATTATTCCTCCGTTAGAATTACATTAATTTATTGTATTTATTAATGTAATTAATAAGCATTATTTATTATTATAATTAATAAATATCCATAGTTCATTAATTACACTTATTAATGCAATTAATAAATCTTCATTAATCTTTGTTGTTTTCTTTCCCCCCCCCATTAAATTGCCACTGGGAGCAGCAACAGCAGAGCTGATTCAGGTGACCACTCCTGACTCAGATTCTGCATTGTTATGGGACTTTATGGTGAACAAAATGGCGGACACCACAAAAAATTGTGCCCCCCTTGGTGGCCATTGAATTCAATTTCTATCTCTGGTACATTCTTTCACCTTTGGTGGACGTGCCCAAAGATCAAGGCTTTCTGGGAAATGATATATAATGAACTGAAAAAGGTATTTAAATATACCTTTCTGAAGAAACCAGAGGCCTTTCTTCTGGGCATTGTCAGCCAATTGGTGTCAAAGAAGGACAGAACCTTTTTTATGTATGCTACAACAGCAGCAAGAATACTCATCGCAAAGTATTGGAAGACACAAGATCTACCCACTTTGGAAGAATGGCAGATGAAGGTGATTGACTACATGGAATTGGCGGAAATGACTGGCAGAATCCGAGACCAGGGAGAAGAGTCGGTGAAAGAAGACTGGAAGCAATTTAAAGACTATTTACAGAAATATTGCAAAATTAAGGAATCTTAGAAGGATGTTGGATAGAAACTAAGAGGTTTTTAGCTGTAATGCTTTAAGAGATATGAAAAAAGGTTAACAATTGGGTAAAAGTTTAATGGTAAGGATTTGCTGAACTAACAAACTGAACTGGAATACAAAAAAGGGAGGTATGAGGAGGTCCGGGGAAATAAGTGTAGGGAAGATAGGTTTGGAAAATCAATGTCTTTTTAACTGTTTTATTTTGTATGTTTCCTTTTTAGTCTCTATTTTTTTGTTATATTTTAAAAACGTTATTCTTTTTTTTTTGTACTCTGTATTTTTTTTTGTATTTCTTGAAACTTTAATAAATATCTTTAAAAAAAAAATGAATTCAATTTCTATCTCTGCTGCTACCAGAAACAGTTAAGTCTGTTGCATTGAAATACATCAGTTTATACCTCCATGCAAACCTTTGAGTCCATTTAGTTCATTTTTTCATTCATTCTAAAACCCCAACGTTGTGTTATTTGCTGGCAATGCTCCACCCCTACACAAAGGATAATTATTGGCCAATAAAGATCTGAACAATAAGAAGCATCGGAGTATCTCAGTTAAATTGGTGAGCTTAGATAGGTTTCCTAATTATTTGATTTTGATTGCTCATTGTTCTTGTAAGAATACCACAGCTGAAACTCATTTAGTACAGTTCACAGAATTTTTATATCCATTTTATTCCAAACCCAAACAATAATAAATGATGATTCAGCCAGGGAACAAAGAAGCAGCAGGAATTTATGACATCCAAGGTTCTAATGAAGGGAAGCTGATGCCGTCCTGATGATGAAGTCCTATAATCCCTAGCCAGCATCACCATTGATCAGAGATGATGGAAGCTGTAGTCCGATAATATCTGAAAGAGACCACAATGGCTACCCATTCTAATGCAACATGCAAAAAAATTTGACTTACAGATCTCATCTGCGTGTCTCCCTTATCAACCCCAAAGGTTGATAAATGTCACAGTTTAACAGCCTCTACTGAAGGTGCCTGGGACACGGGTGGCGCTGTGGGTAAAACCTCAGCGCCTAGGACTTGCCGATCGTATGGTCGGCGGTTCAAATCCCCACGGCGGGGTGAGCTCCCGTCGTTCGGTCCCAGCTCCTGCCCACCTAGCAGTTCGAAAGCACCCCTAAGTGCAAGTAGATAAATAGGTACCACTCTATAGCGGGAAGGTAAACGACGTTTCCGTGTGCTGCGCTGGTGCAGGCTCGCCAGAGCAGCTTCGTCACACTGGCCACGTGACCCGGAAGTGTCTACGGACAGTGCTGGCCCCCGGCCTCTTAAGCGAGATGGGCGCGCAACCCCAGAGTCGGTCACGACTGGCCCGTACGGGCAGGGGTACCTTTACCTTTACCTTTACTGAAGGTGCCAATGTGTGTTGCAAAGAGACAAGGGTGAAATCTACAAGCATATAAAAAACACTGTGAAAATGCTTTTAAAAAAAATATATAATTGGAAAAATACATTGAATTTTGCATAACTCACTGTCGCCATCTAGTGTCACACGTTTTATTTGCAGCTGTGTAGATGAGTTTCAGGTGTATTTCCAGCTGGAAGTACAAAGCCCTTTGGCATGGAAGGAAGTCAAAGCAAAAAGAAAAGAAAATCACTCTTGCACCAGGATAAAAATAATATTATGTTACCCACCCCACCCCTTTGCATAGAAATTACTTTTTAATGCAAAATGAGAAACCAAGGAGGATATTTGAAAAGAGCACGAAACTTGTTTGGAACTTAATTTTGAGGGTGTCATGTGGCTCTATTTTTAAATTTAAATAGCCAAACATTTTGCACCATGGATTAATCTTTTAATAATAATTCTACAGTATGGAGGGAATCAAAAGTGATTTAGTACCTTAGGAAAAATCAGGATCCCCCTTAGGAATAATCAGGATCAACACACAGCTGATGTAACTGCCTGTCTTGGTATGCAATTTCATTGCAACCTGTTGCTCATCCATTGATCTTAGTTGCCTTTTGATGAAGAAGGGGACAAACATCTGTCAGGAGCTCAGCCTACACTCGAGTAGGACCCTGGCAAAGACACATGCCCGACTGGCATGTTCTCTCCCTCCTGGTCGATCGGGAGCTTCAAAAGCTTTCTTCAGCCCGAACATCACAGCGACTGATGCCAACAGACACCGGCACACTTAGGGATCTGCAGAGTCTTAGCATCTTGCGTTACAGACCTCGGCAACTCAGCATTTTGGCTAATCTACTTTATTTACATATAAACATACACGGAACACTGCAACATGGCTCCCTCTCTCTCTAGCATCAGACAGCAAAGAGAAAAAGAACAAAGGACAATAGTTCCACTTCACGGAACACAGTAACACAAACATCCTTTCTCCATCACATCCCACTCTGTGGAGTCAAAATATATACCGTCATGTGATAGACAAAAATCCCATGACTGCAAACATGGAGCAGGAATTTTAACAACATCTCCATCTTGGGCTCCTAGCTGCTTTGTGCAATGTATGGACCATGCAAGAACTATCTAACTGCCTAATTGTGGCCTGAGCTTTTCCTAGGCAGGAGCCTACTTCAGGTGCATGAAATAGATTGAGGTTGTGGGTCATGTAACTATTAATCACACTGCAAAAGTTCATAATTACCTGGTTTGGGATACAGCTTCAATCATCTCTTAATGCGCCAAAGTATTCTAAATGGAGTGCCATTTCCCTGAAAGTCTCCCATTTTCTTCAGCTCAGAGTATAAAATATGAAATGTTATTCTGTGCATACACAATCAGGGTTCAGAAAACCAGATGAACAAAGCCAGCTGCTTTGTAAGCATGCATTTTATTTAATGCTAAAGCCTTACTTTTGCTGAAATGCTTGTTTATTGCTGTGAACTCTGTGACCAGACTTCTCTCTCTCTCTCTCTCTCTCTCTCTCTCTCTCTCTCTCTCTCTTTCTTTTGCTGACTTCTCTGTTTGGGTCAATGATCTCAGTTGCTCCTTGCAAACATTTTATGTGATTGTTGTCTCCTACCCAGGTGCAGAGCCTACTCTCATTTTGGGGTATGTTTACTTTGGGAGTCTCTGGTGCTGAGAATTACAAGTGGCAATTTACAGGTTTTTCCAGACACATCTGGGAATTGAACTGCAAAATGGCATCCGGGAGGATTTTCGCTGAATCAACCGAATGTCTGGGAAAACCCAGACGTAGAGCAAGTAGGGTGATTTTTTTAAAAAAATACTTAAAAAATACAACAACATTGACCAGATATTCACTTTTGGGAATATGGCAACCCTGCAATATAATAAGGCCATGCACTTGGGAGCATCAGACTGTGTGCATCGACATTAAGACCCAGCAGAGAACTTTTGGAAACAGATGAGCTTTCCACACCCCAAGACACTGATTAAAAATGCTTGCAATTACCTAGCTGATTCTGATTCGAGCCAATGGGAGTTGTAAAGGTAAAGGGACCCCTGACCATTAGGTCCAGTCGTGACCGACTCTGGGGTTGCTGCGCTCTTCTCGCTTTATTGGCCAAGGGAGCCGGCATACAGCTTCCGGATCATGCGGCCAGCATGAGTAAGCCGCTTCTGGCGAACTAGAGCAGTGCACGGAAACGCCGTTTATGTTCCCGCCGGAGCGGTACCTATTTATCTATTTGCACTTTGACGTGCTTTTGAACTGCTAGGTTGGCAGGAGCAGGGACTGAGCAATGGGAGCTCACCCCGTCGTGGGGATTCGAACCACCGACCTTCTGATCGGCAAGTCCTAGGCTCTGTGGTTTAACCCAATGGGAGTTAGTCCACTGCTAAATAATGCACAGGAGTTGAGCTGGGAATGCACACAACTGAGGGCTTCAACATCTAAATGCAATGCATTCTCTAGGGAAGTACAGGATTTCTAAAGAGCCTTTGTGACCCAAGGGATAAGTTAGAGCGCAGCTTCTTGTGCCTTTACCTGAATGTTCACCTGTAGTGGGATTCATGAGCCCAGTTGGAAGCCATTTCAAATGGAGGGTTGTCATACGTCTGTGAAAACATGTCCTCTTTTGGGGGAGGCCAACATGCCCATTCGGGCAGATTTTTACATTTTAAAGGAAATCTCAGGGGTTTTTTTGGGGGGGGCTCAGGCTTGGGCTGCTCTGCATGCCACGGCTGGTGCCAGCCCGTGAACCTGTTTCCCCAGCTCGGGCTGGCAGCGGCTTGGGCTGTTCTCATTTTTTGCTCTACAAAATATGTCAATCCTATAGAAATGTGACTTTACTTGCAAGGAATCAGCCTTACATTTCTAGATGGCTTTTTACTGAAGGCCAGAACTGAGTAGTCTACTGCTTCCAGAGGTGGCACAACGTGAGAGTAGCTCAGTTGGTAGAGCACAAGACTCTTCATCTCAGGGTTGTGGGTTTGAGCCCCACGTTGGGCAAAATATTCCTGAATTGCATCGAGGTGTACAAGATAACCCTCACGGTCCACCCCAATGCTACAATTCTATGAGTCTATGAAGCCACTTACTAAAGGAGTTACCATAGTTTTCAGGTAGGAAATGGGGGCCTAATCATTTTGTGTATAAAAGCATGTATTGGGGGACCCGGTGAGAATAAGAAATCATTACTTCATTACCGAACGTTAGGATGGCAAAATAAGTATGGATGGATTTGAAAAGGTCAGCAGAAGTGTAGCCTATTTCCTTTGGATGGGTATTGACAGAAGCATAATATATACCCCCAAGAGAGGCAGCGTGTTACTCCCAGAGGGATTATTACCAGGGGCAGTGGCATAAAAGAGAACAAAAGAAACATTTGAGCTCAATTTCAGGAATGTTGAAATCTGCTAAACTGTGAAAAAGGGGAGGCCAATTGCCTCTAAGGAAAAGGTGACAGCTTTGTTTAGAATGGATTAGACTGGACTGCTTGAGGATACATTGCCGCGAGAGAGCCATTGTTGCATTGGATAAGCTCAGAGCATTTTTGTATTTCTTATTTAGGCTGAAGAGGCGCATGTGGAACAACAGCCTGGGATTTTAAAACTGCTACATGAGGTGCCAGGGAGAGAGCAGCCAGGCAAATTACTAGCGAGGAAATGCAAAAGGAACGATTTTGCTGCCTTGCAGATGCAACTGTGCTGGCATGCTTACAAAACCAAGGCATGCACAAGGCCTAATTAAGCTTGAACTAGGCAGGTGGGTGACCGTACACCCATAAAGAGCCCACGTCTTCACCGCCTGCATGGGCTGGGTGTCGGGAGCACCTCCTCTGACCTTCCGATCACAGGAATGCAGGAACAGCAGCACAGAATTCCCCTGGAATAGGTCCTGGTGCATGGACTCACATTTGCTATTGTGAGCACCT